ATGAATGCAACACCATTCCTCTTCAATTTGTTATTCCCTGCATAGTAAACCATGTGGTTGTCCAATTCAAAGTGGCCAATACGAGTCCATTTCAGCTCACTAAGTACCATCATGATAAATGGAGAAAAGATGTAAGTTGTCAGACTTCATTTTGTTTGGATCCATTATCAACCTTATGGAAGCAGCAGTGAAGAAATCAAACGGCATATTGCATTAGGCAAATCTCATTCAAAAAAATCTCTTTAAAGAGTTCAAGAGCAAAGCTGTGTGTGTGGGCCAAGGTGCACCTGACCCAAACCATGGTATTTTCAGTTGTCTCATATGCATGTGGAAGTTGGACATTGAATAAGGAAGACTGTCGAAGAATCAATGTGTTTGAAATATGGTGTTAGCAAAGCATATTGAAAGTACCATGGACTGTTAGAAGAACAAACAAATCTGTGTTGAGAGAAGTCCAGCCAGCGTCCCTTAGGAGCAAGGATGGCAAGAGTTCTTCTTTCTTTCTTTGGACTTGATGTCAGGAGAGATCCATCCCTGGAGAAAAGTGGAGGGTCAGCGAAAAAGAGCAGACCCCCAACTAGATAGACTAACATGGTGACAACAACAATGGGTTCAAATGGAGTAACAATTGTGAGGATGGCGCAGGACCAGGCGGTGTGGCATTTTATTCTGCATGAGGTCACTTTGAGTCAGAACCAACTCGACAGCACCTGACCACAGTGTTGAGATTATTGAATGCACTAAAATTTTGAGACCACGTCTAGATTTTCATCTTACTTGAGATACATCTTCCTGACTTAGATGCAGTCCAGTCTCATCAACCCTGTAATATATGAGCATTTTTCTTATACAGGTAATCAAGAACCAGGATTCTGAGGGAGACTCCAGCTATGTAATGCTGAGAGATTTTCTTACTCTTGCTCAAATTTCTCTCTTCTTTTCAAATAGGGTTTTAAGGTTATTTCATTGGATGCTGTTATATATAATAAGTACTCAAAATTGTGACTAATATTTAGTTGAGCATCACTTTAGTAAATGCTGGCTGATGTTTTTTTAAGAAATTACTGATGGTTAAAATTATATTATGACTGGATTAATTAATTGTGTTAGATGTGTGTTTCTCTTTAGATACAATTATTATTTTGTTGCCGGCAGATTTTTTATGTCAAAATGATTTAAGTTTGCTCTTGAATATCTTATGAGCACGTCATAATGAAACTTCACTGATTTTCAATGAAAAATGAACACTCACTCTGTGAGTCCTCGTTTGTGTTTGTCGTATGTCGTCTCCCATGCATCTGGAGCATTTAGAATATAACTTATTTATCCATTCCCATGGAACTGCTGTGGGGGTGTTCACATCCTTGTTGAATATAACCTAACCACAGTCCTGGGAGCGCACTGGCTATGTGAGATAAGCACTGGACTGCCCAACACAAGGTTGGCGGTTCAAGCTGATCAGCTAGCTGCTCCACACGAGAAGATGAGGTTTTCTGTTCCTGCGCAGATTGATAGTTTCAAGGACCCTGTACAGGATAGCTATGTCACAATCGACTCGATGGCACTTAACACCAAACAACCACTATCTTGAGTAGTAATATGATTTCCATTTAGCAGATGAGGAAAATGAGTCCCAGGTAGTTTGAAATGTATTACCCAAGTTCCCCCAGCTAGGAAGTGTCAGGGCCAGGATTTTAGCACAATCCATATCCCTCTCTTTCTGATCCTCTAGATTTATTTAAAAATTTTAAAACCTTGTAATGCACTTCTTGTGTATTATAAAAAGAATATAATGCATGATTGTTTTATGGCCTCTTGTTGGTATTTAACCTAGAAGCGGTTGTGGATATATGTAGGCAGTACTCACAAGTTCTGAAGTGAGTTTTTGAAATTCTTTTGAGTCTTTTACACTCATGTAGATGCAACAGTTTTGTTCATGTTGAAGAAAATGCTGTGATAGAGATGAGGAAATAAATGACTTTGTGTTGACAACGATTTCACCGCAGCTTACAAGTGAATGAAGGTAGAGCATGAGAAGCACTGGGATTGTGGACCAGAACCTGACCCACCTAGGCATGGTGTGGCCTGCACTTTCCTAGTTTATAGTGGAGAAAACTGGTATCAGAAGGAGAGGTCGTACAGGTAGAGCCACTGACTCATAGTCCAGCAGCCGAAATACCCTGAATGTTCTCTTAATATCCCAAGGCTTGGTTTTAACAGTCTGTCTAGTGTTTTTTTTTTTGAAATTACAAAATAAAACTTTCTACCCTTTAAATGGCAGGATAGTACTTGGTGCTTACCACCTCTTATCACAGACCTGACACTCGTACTGCTTTATTTTAAAAGCTTTAGCAATCTGCAATGCTGTCGTTTGTGCTCAGTGTAAGTAACGTTTGGATTTTGGCAGGGCGTTTTAAGTTTCGATTGCTAGTCATATTGAGCATGGCAAACAGTAGGTGTGCCTTCTCACTGATGATGTTTATGTTGACAGTTCAAAAGGAAATGCTTTTGTTTTTGCTGCAAATGGTGCCTTTGGCTCATTTCACGATGCCTCAAGTCAGTGTTTACATTTTCAGCGCTGAGTTCGTAACTCTCAACGATTGTCTTCAGCTGGCTTATTTGCCTTCCAAGAGGAATCACATGCTGCTACTCTACCCACGTGAGATCTTGATCCTGGACCTGGAGGTGAACCAGACAGTGGGTGTGATCGCCATTGAGCGGACAGGAATTCCGTTTCTGCAGGTACGTGTGCTTTATGAGTGAGCCGCCCCAGGCTCTTCTGAGAGAGAAACCGCAGTCCTCAACAGTCCTGCAAGGTCCGCGGATGCACTGTCTGATCTCTACAGTGCTGTTTCATACTGCTTTATTTTCTGTGCTTTTCATTGATTTGGTTTGTCCTAAAATTCTTTTGATGATCTGGAGATACTTACTACACTATTTAGATTATATCAGTCATTACGGCATTTTTGGCGATCATATAAATTTTTTAAATGTTTATTTAGTATTGTGTGTGTTTTGATGTTTTTTGTTTGTTTTCCATATTCTCTAGATAAGAGTTTATGAGTAGGTATCTCAGTATAACAAAGTCCTGGTGTGGCGCTGTAGGTAAACACTGGACTGCCCCGTCGGTTTGAATCACGAAGTCAATGATTCAAATCCAGCAGCCGCTGCTCGGGAACGCTGTAGGGTCACTAGGAGTTGAACTGACATGACAACACTTAACAGCAGCAACATCACAGTGTATGTATTTATTAGTCTATTAGGTTTTTAGAAATAAATGCTTCCTCTGTTTTGAAGGTAATACCCTGCTTTCAGCGTGATGGTTTATTTTGTCTACATGAAAATGGTTGTATCACCTTACGTGTTCGAAGATCTTATAATAGTGTTTTCAGCACTTCAAATGAGGAGCCAGGTGAGTCCGCAATATTGTTCATTATATCTCTCCCTGAAATTATTTTATGAACTTTCACATTATTTTATAGTTCTTCATTCGTAGAATTAATGAGTAGCCTTGCCTCAGGAGAGTGTTAGAAAACAGTTTTAATAAAAAACACAAAACTGTGTAAGTCCAAGACTTCTTGTTTTCCTGGTCTGACACCAGTGCCCCCCATGTATGCAGCAAAGAAAGCCGTATTCATCATTCCTTCTCCACTGGGCCCTTGGGCCAAGTAGCTGTTACTGCTGTTACTGTTGGTTTGGTCAGTGACCATGACTGCACACCCTCAGCTTTTACCCTTGGCTTTCGGAAGCCCTGCAGTAAGTGACGGGATTGAATTTCTAGGGCAGGGCTGCAGAAGGTCTGCTGTGTAGGCCATGCATTGTCGCTAAGTGTAATCTAGTCGGTCCTGACTGAGAGCCATCCTAAATAGGGTTTCCAAGGAGTGACTGGTGAGCTTGAACTGCCAACCTTGAGATTCAAACCGACTTTGCTGTCCAGCTCATAACCCACAGTGCCACACCAGGACGTCGCAGGCCATATAAGGCCCACGAAATCATTTGGTCTGGCCCTCTTAAGGCAGTTCAGTACGAGCCATCACGTTGTTGTTAAGTGCCATCGAGTTGGTTCCAACCCATAGTGATCCTAAATAGGGTTTCTGAGGAGCAGCTGATGAGCTTGAACCGCCGACCTTGCAGTTCAGACTGGCTTTGCAGTCTGGCGCATTAACCTACAGTGCCACACCAGGACTCCAGCCATCAATCACGTTGTTGTTATGTGCCATGGAGTCAGCTCCGACTCATAGTGACCCTGCACAGGGTTTCTGAGGCTGTAAATCTTTACGGGAGCAAAACACCTCATCTTTCTCCTGCGGAATGGCTGGTAGTTTCGAACTGCTGACCTTCCGGTTAGCAGCCCGATTCATAACCACTATGCTACCAGAGCTCCTTTAAGCCATCACATTAGGAATGCATTAATAGTGCAGCGTTGTGGGTTATTGCGCTGGACTGCAAAGTTGCTTTGAACTGCAAGGTCGGTGGTTCAAGCTCACCAGCCGCTCCTCAGAAACTCTGTACAGGGTTGCTGTGGGTCGGAATTAATTCGACGGCACTTAACAACAACAACAATAAATGTCTCACAAAATATAGCAGGCTAATTTTTAAGTGAATAATTTTGTATGACCCATAAATGTATACATTTTGGCACTACAAAGGTTCCCCACCCCTGCGCTAGGGCAGTCTGTTGTCAGTGGCTGTCTATTCCAGAGGATAGAAGGAATGCGCTTGTGAAAAGATGTACTCTGTTAAGGCAGACTAAAAAAAGGGATTTTCACATCTTTTGTGAAGAATTGATATTTTTAGGGTTAATCAGATTGCTGGAAATGAGGATTGTCTATAGGAGTCCTAAAGGAGCCCTGGTGTGGCGCTGTGGGTTAATGCACCAGACTACAAAGCCGTTTAACTGCAAGGTCGGCGGTTCAAGCTCACCATCTGCTCCTCAGAAACCCTATACAGGGTCGCTATGGGTCAGAATCAACCCGACGGCACTTCACAACAGCAACTTAGGAGTCCTGGTAGTGTAGTGGTTACGAGTCGGGTTGCTAACCTCAAGGTCAGCAGTTCGAAACTACCAGCAGTTCTTCAGGAAAAAGATGAGTTTTCTGCTCCCGTAAAGATTGACAGCCTCAGAAATCCTGTACAGGGTGACTGTGAGTTGGAACTGAGTCCACGGCACATAACCACCACCACCGTAGGAGTCTTGGTGTGGCGCTGTTGGATAAGCACTGGGCTGCTAACCACAAGGTTTGCAGTTTAAATCCATCAGCTGCTCCTTGAAAACTGTACATAGGGTCACTGTAGGGTTGCTGTCAGTCAGAGCCTTAAGGACACTTAATAGCAACAATACAGTACGCTGTTCTTTATTTAATCATGTATCAGTTGGCCCTTTTTCAAAGCATCCATTCATTAAAAGGCTATTCAAAACAAGCTTTCTTGATCACAGTTGTCATTTGGGAGATTAAACGTGGTGTGCACAGTTGTTAAGTGAGCTCTCTTTATATTCTGCAGGAAGGAATTAGGTATAATGGTAAGTGGAGAGCCACTCCTGAGAGGTTTTATGTCAGTAAAGGAGTGAGTGGGCTTTATTTAAGGTGGAACAAATAGCAGTGATGTTGATGGGTTGCTTTCTCTTAAGACCTGGATCCTGTTCAGGAGCTGACCTATGACCTCCGCAGCCAGTGTGATGCAATCCGGGTGACAAAAACCGTCCGTCCCTTCAGTATGGTGTGCTGTCCCGTCAACGAGAACGCGGCTGCTCTCATCGTGAGTGACGGAAGGGTCACGATCTGGGAGCTGAAGTCGGTGGTCTGTAATCGCAGTTCCCGGGGCAGGTAAGGGCGTCAGTAGGGACTCTGGGCTGTTTCCTCTGGCCTCTCTCCGGACAGGCCTACCTCACTTTAATGGGCCTCAGAAATGCCCCACGTTTTGCACACTGAAGGCTCTGGTCACCCTGCCCCCAAGCAAGTCTGTCGGCAGTGTTTAGCCAGCAGCATGTGTTCACTTTGTTCTCTCTGCCCTGTTCTGGTCCTTCTCACAATGTTCCTCACATTCATAGAGCACAGTATAGTGTGAACATGACTTTCACATGCACTGGGAAACCCCACAATTCACGTGGCTCGCTATATTGGGATACTCTCTGTTACACGGTCTGGAATGGGACCAAACCTGCATTGTCTCTGTGGTCTGCCTGAAATGACCAGAGCATATACAAATGACAGCGACTTTTTTCCTACAAAAACATTTTTCAAGTGATAATGATGGCTTTGGATTACTAGGGGATTCTGTAGTCTGGTTTCCTTTTGGGTACCAGGATTTGGGATCCCTAGCTTCAGGGACTAAGCTATAGCGCAGGTGTTAACTATATAAACCTTCGAATTCTTATGTCTTTGTAGCGGCTCTGGGGTGTCACCTTTGTATTCACCAGTGTCTTTCTGTGGGGTCCCAGTGGGGGTGCTGCAGAACAGGCTCCCAGACCTTTCCTTGGATCACATGATCGGTAAGCTTTTTGTCTTTTTCCTCTGACTTTTGTGCTAGGGATGCTTCTTGAAGGGCACAGGTAATCGGATCACTGACTTAAAGCCCCCACATCAAACCCCCTTCTGTCAAGTTAATTCTGACTCAGGTTATAAATCTTTACATCCTGGAGCTGACTGCCGCATTATTTTTCTCCCACAGAGCAGCTGGTAGGTTGGAACCACCACCGTTTCTGTTATTAGCCAGTACCTAACCCACTGTACCACTAGCATTCCTTGTAGTTGTTACAGAGTCAGAGTAAGACCGAGGGAACGAAAGTGTCAAATCATTCTTTCCTAAATAAATCCGAGGAGTATAAAATATTTAAGCATGAAAGTGCCTGGGGCAGCATGGGTTGGCATCATAGTTGTTGGAATGAAAGAATGTTCAATTCTGAATGAGTCTGTGATATAAAAGAGAACGGGAAGTAAGCACCTGGGTCCTGGGCCTGTCTTCCTTCTGAGCTGAGCTAGACCACCACCAGGCCTGCAGCTTGGGGCCAGATAACCTGGTCTTCTCTCTCTTTCCCTCTGCCATTCCTAATCCAAAATACAGCTTTTCTAATCTCTCTTGTTGCTGCCTCTCATCTCTCAAGTCTGATTTCCATGTTCATTTGTGGTCTCTAGTAGTATCAGTCAAGTGGTTGTGAGTCGGGCTGCTATCCTCAAGATCAGCAGTTCAAAACTGCCAGCCGTTCTGCCCCCGTAAAGATTCACAGCCTCAGAAACCCTGTGCAGGGTGACTGAGTCAGAACTAACTCCACAGCACACTATGACCACCACCAAATCATAATTAGGGAATCCTGGTGTGGCACTATAGAATCAGTGCTGGACTGCAAACTGCAAAGTTGGTGGTTCAGACCCACCAGCTCGTTCTCAGAAACCCTATACAGGGTCCCTATGAGTCAGAACCGACTCAGCAGCACATGAGAGCAACAGCTACATTGGGATTGTGGCTTTACTTGTCCACACAAGAGTGAGGGTGGTGTTTTATTCAGCTTTGTGTTCCTTAGCACCTGGCATGGCCTGGCACATTCTAGGTGCTCAGTCAGTCTGTTAAAGGGACAAAGGGACTGAGTAATATTAGAAAAATTCGTATTTGCAAATACTGCTTCAAATTTATTGAATTAATATGGGGCCAGAGTATATTAAAGAAAGAATGAGGATTTGTGATTTCAGATAGTATGCAAGCTGAGATTGTAATGTTGAACTGAGTAAATATTCCAAGCAATCTTGACATCCAGTTGTTTTTAAGTTATGGTTCATTATGGTTATAAAGGATTTTTCTGTATGATTATTCACTCTTCCACAATATAATTGAAAATGGATGTTTTTTCAGCAGGTGTTTGCTTAAATGCTATATGGATAATAGAATACATGACTTTATTTAACCATCTTGGTGGTTGATGGTTATGCACCATGGAGTCTGTTCTGACCCATAGTGACCTTGTATATGGTTTCCTAGGAGCAACTGGTGAGCTTGAACCACTGACCTTGTGGATCAAATAGACTTTGCAGTCCAGTGCATTAGCCCACAGCACCACAGAGATGACATTTATTGAGTACTTACTCGTCTGCTTAGTGCTAGACCAAATCTTCTGTTACCTCCCTGCAGTCCCTCAAGTTAGCTTGAAGCCCCTAAGATTAGGGTTGACATTTTATGTAGTGTGGGTGTCTAAGTGATATAAATTATACTTTAAGAGACAGAATGGTACAGGTTGTTCTTGACAGTGTACTATTGTTTCCATTTTGTAGATGTGGAAACTGAGGCCCAGAGGTTAAGTCACTCCCCTAGTTCCCGCCTTCCTGGCTGGGACATGACCTCCTGTGTAGCTGGTCCCTTGCCATGGCTCCAGACTTGGGTTTCCTTATGATTCCCACCCGTCGTGAAGTCCTTTTACTCCAAGACACTAACTTGTACAGTTAAAATTCTTCCTCATGGAAATCCACATACGGAAGTTCAGACTCATACTTGGTTTATAAAATTTATTCTGTCGATAACACAATTTTCTGAGTTAATTGACCTTGTCTGTACTTCACATAAACTGCTAAATGAGACAAGCTGTAAATACACACGTAGAACTCCTCAGCATTGGTAAGGTTGTAAGAGGCTGGACTCCCGTGCAGTTTAGGGATCTAAATGGTGTAAATTGTACCCTTTAAGAGAAAACCATGGCACAGGTCACCTAGAGGTTCTTGACAATGGAGCTGAATTAAAAGCATTAAATAGATAAGGCTTTGTTACTCGAGACCAGTTTAATTAAAACATTTAATTAAACTTTTAATTTGTAGTTCAGTATGTGCGTATTAATAATTGAAAGCAGTTCAGTTAGTACAGAAGCCTGGTTGGTAGTCACTGGGCGCATGCTGGTGTTCAGAAAGGCCTTGCATATCCTGCTTTGTGGATTGTCTTTTGTGGAAGATGTGCGAAGAAAAATGTGACCATTTTCACGGGTAACCTCCAAGCTAATGGGGTTGATACACATGCTGCTTACCTGTTAAGCGTCCCATTTCTTTGTATCCCATTTTGGGCACTAAAATTAGGCAGAAAGATTGGTTGTCAATAATTGTATCACTTATCTTCGGGGTCTTTTTAATGACTACTTTTTTTTTTTTTTACATAGCTAAGGGATTCAGAAAAAAAATAAAATAATAACAATAAAACAACTGTACAGCCTTAGGATAAACACCGGACTGCTAGCCACAAGGTTGGTAGTTCAAACCCACCAGATGCTCTTCAGAAACCCTATATAGGATCGCTGTAAGTTGGAACCAACTCCATAGCACTTAACAACAAACAGCCTTAATCCCATTATCCACGCTTACTAACTGTTCCTATTACCCCTTTTATGGTGTAAATATGTATGTATCTTTGTGTTGATATGTATTGGTGGTGGTGGTGGTTATGTGCTGTGGAGTTGATTTTGACTCATAGTGACCCTGTGTAGGGTTTTCGAGGCTATAAATCTTTACAGGATCAGAAAGCCTCATCTTTCTCCCATGGAATGACTGGTAGTGTTGAATTGCTGCCCGTGGATTAGTAGCCCAACTCATAACCACTACGCTACCAGAGCTCCTTGATATATATTGAGGGGATGCCAAAAAATTTGTGGAAAAATGGAATTAAATGTAACATTTTTCTTTCCGTTTGTAGACTCAGCATGTGTTGGAAGTAATAGATTGTTTTTTCTCATTGCAAACCAGGGCAAAGTGCAATTGCTGGAGAGGAGCCTCCCGAGGGCTCCCCCCTGCAGGAAGTGCACCTCAGGTTCCTGCTGACCGGGCTACTGTCAGGACTGCCCTTGCCTCACTTTGCGATCCGTATGTGCCCACCTCTGACCACCAAAAACATCCAGACGTACCAGCCCCTGCTTGCTGTTGGTGAGTGTCTGGCCTGTCCACATCATCATCTTCCAGCCTCTTTTTATCTTTACAAGTCATTTAGGCTGCTTAGGTACCAGAGCACCCATCTGTGCCTGCGAAGAAAGACATATAAACATGACGCCAAGGACATCTGATAACGCTCAGTTCTACTGTGTAATACATCGGATTGCCACGGGGCAGAATCAGCTCAGTGGCATCAGGGTTTTTGTGTGTTGGTTGTTGTTGTTACTAAAATTTCTCTATTCTCTTTGAGAATGCTTGAAGAGGAGGAAGAAGAGGTGAAGTATAAATTACTGTTCTTCAAATAATGTTTTGTTCCTTGTATCTTTTTCTGCCCTTTTAATCTGCTTATTTCTTTTCAATCACAATGAGAATTTGTCCTCTTGAGACTGGAGGAGCATGTCCTGGCCACTTGCTGTTCCCCAAGTCCCAGGGAGACAGCCTATGGGATGTGGAATCCCAGACCTGACCTTTCTGTGAACCAGCCAGCCATTGCCTATGGGGGTCATTCTGCCCTGGGTCATGGTTGACTGATGATGTAGTCATAGTTCATGGCTTTACAAGAACACTGTTCTTTATTGGCTAAAAACTATTTTTAAAGGTGGTTGTAGTCTCATTTCAACCTGCTGCCACAGCAATTTCACAGTAAAGTCAAATCTAAGATTGAAACAAACATCCTCCAGGATTTTTTTGGGAAAGCATCTGCTTGTTTGAGCAGTTCAGATTTCTTTAGAAGATGCTGTTGGTTGGCTTCTGGCCATTGATCAATGATTCTTCTCTCTCTCCTTTGGAAAAAAAAGAAAATAAAAACCTGTTCACATTTTGTGACCAGTATACAAAAGGCTTCAGAAAGTTTGTGGAAAAGTCCATGATGTTTACCTTCCATTTTCCAGGTCCTTTTTGAAGTTCCCTTGTTTATCTCGGTTAGTTTAGTGACTGATGGGGGACTGTTTAAGGTTCATTTGCTGTTTGGCAGTACTCTTATTTTGCCACGTTATTCATTGCTGTCCTCTGAACATGATTTGAATTTTAAGGGTCAGTGGTACCAGGGCTGGATTAAAGCAATTGTTCTTGACAAATAAATATAGGTGAATGTTAATTTTTTTTTTTTAGAAACTATTGATTCATGTTAAACCTCTTTTGGATGCCTTAATTAGGATCTATCAATTTCCAGTTTTCTTGGGAGAAATTACTTCCTGAGATTGATATCTAATGAATTTTGTTAGGGTCTGCGATTTCTACTGTAGAATAAACTATCATGTTTGCTGCTCAGTACCATCAATTACCATCAATTGGTTTCTGACTCATGTGACTCATATGACAGAGTAGAGTGGCCCCATCGGGTTTTCTAGGCCATGATGTTTATGGAAACCAGGTCTTTCTCCTGTGAAGCCTCATGAACCTTTTGGTTGGCAGCTGTTGCATCGGACAGCTTGACTGTTGTGTCACCAAGACTCATGGTATACACGTGTTGCTGCTGTTACTGCTCTAACTCGGTTCTGACTCATAGCAACCCTGTATTGGGTTTCTGAGGAGCAGCTGGTGGATTTGAACTGCCGACTGACTTTGTGGTTCACAGTCCAGTGCTGATCCTCCAGTGCCACAGCAGGACTCCTGGTATATAATGAATATCAAATTGTGTATTGACTTTATTGAATTGTATTAACAAAATAAAAGGCATGAGTCTCTAAATGTGTTTTGCAGACTCACTAGGGAGGAGGCGCAGGGGTCAGCTCTCACATGACCTGTAGCTGTTCTTGTGGTGTTCCTGGAGGACTTGGGCAGAGTCTCACCATTGCCTAATCTCATTCGAGCCTCAAGTTAGAAAGACCTGTGCCTTTAAGATTTTAATAATCCTTTAGATACTTTGGTAACCATGGGTGGAGTCGGTTCTGACTCATAGCGACCCTGTACAGGGTTTCCGAGGCTGTAAATCTTTACGGGAGCAGAAAGCCTCATCTTTCTCCTGCAGAACAGCTGGTAGTTTCAAACTGCCAACTTTGCTGTTTGCAGCCCGAATCGTAACCACTGTGCTACCAGAGCTCCGATGATATACATAAACAAGTTTTTCCTGGAAATGTTTTTGCAGAAGTTTTTTTCTAGCTTTCTTCCATAAGTATGTTAAAAATTGGAATTGCCCTAGCCTTTGGCTTCGGTTCTATTGCTTTGTATAAATCCATCTATCCTCCTAAATCGTGTGAGTGAGCAAGTGATTGTCCAGACAATGGCAGCAATCATTTTATTTCTGAACTTAATACCTCTTAAAGGATTGAAACGTTTGCTCTCTCTGGTGTGCACGCATCCCTTTTAAGAACAGTGTTGAGACCTGGGGACACAGTCAGGTCGACAAACTACTTTCAGTGGTGACAGGAGTGGTGTGAGGTGGCTGAGTGCTCCTGTGTGTCAGCTGCTGTCCTCAGTGCTTTCCATAGGGCTCTGACTTCGTCTCTAACTAGTGCAGTCTGTGTGATCTCTCCTTTTAAAGCTACAGAGACAGACTGAGTTGGACAGGTAATTTATCCAAGCGCAGAGCTAGGGCTAGACCCTAGCTTAACATTTAACCATCATAAGTTAGTGTACAATTAACCTGTGTTGGTTAATATCTTTGATTGGTTATAGTTTATTTAATATCAGAGACAAAACATGAAAACCTTGTCAAGGGAAATAGGGAAGTCTGGCTAAGGAGCTCTGCGAGGCTGACAGTGGTGAACAGCTGTATCTTGGGGTGTCAGCTCCTTGGGGGAAAGCTTTAGGCAAGTGTATCTTTGTGTTTTGTGAGTTCTGAGTTAGGTCGTGATGTTTTTCTGTGAAGATCTGTTCCCCACAGGTAGGTAGCATTGCAGAGCACCTGAGATTAGGCCTGGCTTTGATCAAGGGAAAGGCAGAGAAATTCACTTTTCTTTAGCCCATAACTCAGACCCCTTTTACAAAGTTATAAAATGATGAAGCTCTTGAGACGAGGCTTTGGTTGGGAAGGTCAGCCCCCGCCCACCCAGGTTGACAGTCCTGTGTTGCATCCTTTGACAGGTACAGGTAACGGTTCAGTGCTGGTGTACCATCTCATCAGCGGATTACTGCACAAAGAGCTGAGCATGCACTCCTGCGAAGTCAAGTGAGTATCCTCCCCTTACCGTGCTGAGGCCACAGCAAATCAAAATGCACTTGTGATGGTGGTGGTGGTGGTGGTGGGCCATAGAGTCAGTTCCGACTCACAGCGACCCCGTACAGGGTTTACAAGGCTATCTTTACGGGAGCAGAAAGCCTCATCTTTCTCCCGTGGAACTGCTGACCTTGGTGTTAGCAGCCCAACTCATAACCACTATGCTAAATGCACTCTTAGTGAACACATTATTTATTCTGGCAAATGCATTTCTGAGTGAGGAATTCATTAAGTGCCATGAAATTCAAGGATTGGAAGCCTCTTAAAATGTTGACCTTCTTGATGTATTCGCTCAAGCACATGTTTTGTGGTACAGCCCCGGTGGGTGTTGGTTACCAGCCAATACTGTGTCCCCGCAGTGCCTCCCAGACATGTTGACGCGCGTGATCTGGGTTGCAGAAGCTTTGGGCCTTGCTGGGCTCCTGACCCGGTGTGCGTCCTCGCTCCTCTGTTACCGAGGCCACCGTGTGCCAGGCTGGTGTTGTCGTGTAAGCCCTGCTGTCGTGCCGATGGCTTCTCCCGTTTTCCTCTCTGGACTTCTTGGCTTCTGTGTGGAGTTTTTCCTCTTGTGGTTCCCATCAAGCCAGCGCTCTTAAGTCCATGCTTTCTGTGCATCATTTCTTGGTTTTTCACTCAGACTTAGGAGGCAGCACAGGTAGTTGGTGTGGCTTCAAAACAGCTGCTGTGTAAAATCTCATTACCTTTAAGTTCTGTTCTTTCCATGGACTTTATGAAACTCCTTCATATTCCCAATTTACAGAAACAGGAACTGAGGACCAGAGAGCCAGCTGTGAAAGAGGAAGCTGAAGCTCAGTCTTTTCTGGTTTCAGACCCTAAACTCTGTTTAGAACCACAAGGTCAGCAGTTCAAGCCCCCGAGTCGCTCCAGGGGAGAAAGATGCGGATGTGTTAGGTTACAGAAAAGCTGCGCCGGAAGTACAGAGTCTGTGTACCCTTTCTCCCGTGTTCACTGTCTCTCCTGCTGTTGTCTTGCACTTCTGAGGGACGGTTGCTAAAATTGATGAACCAGTATTGCTGCGTAATTATTCATAACATCTGTCGTTTGTGTGCGGGTTTCCTCTCTGTGTTGTGCAGTCCTGTGAGTTTTGACAAGCACATAATGTCATGTGTCCACAGTTATAGTAACTCCCTAAAGCGCCTGCGCTGCACTCATTTGTCTGTCCTCCGCTCCCCAAGCCACTAGCCGCACAGTGTGTCTTGTCAGAATCACCTGGACAGCTGTGGGAGGCTGGTTTTTGGTGTCCTTCACTTAGCAGTAGGCAATAAGGCGTCTTCATGGCTTGATGGCTTGAAAGACATCTTGGTTGCTTCCAACGTGGGGCGATGATGAGTAAAGCCGCTACAAGCATTTGTTGTTGTTGTTGTGAAGTGCCATCGAGTTGATTCCTACCCATAGTGACCCTGTATAGAGTTTCCAAAGAGCAGCTGGTGAGCTTGAACCACCGACCTTGCAGTTCAGACGGCTTTGCAGTCTGACGCCTTAGCCCGCAGCGCCGCTCTGCAAGCATAGGCAGGTGTTTATGTGCCTGTACTCTCTCATCTCACTTGGGTGACTAGCTAGGGGCTTGGGTGCTGGGTTCTGTAGTAAGCCTCTATAAGACTTTTAAAACCTGCCAACTGTCCTCTGAAATAGCGGCCCCACCGATCTCCCCTACTGCAGTGAGAGAGACACGCGGGGTGCTCAGCAGCCTCATCAGCACTTGGTGCTGACAGGGTTTAGCTTCTCGTCATGCCAGTAGTGGGCTAGCAGACACACTGTGTAAAGAGCTGAAACGTGAACATCTTCAGGTTTGCAGACCACACAGTCTCTGTTGTAAATGATCAGCTCTGCCCTGATGGCACTGGAGCCAACAAAATGTCCCATAAATGCTGATGAGCACTTACGTGTGAACAGAGGTTGGAAAGGGCCTTTCCTCCCCACAGCCTCCAGTACCTTGCAAGCGATGCACTGTCCTCCTCCTTGTGGATTTGATGACTCCACTTTGCTGTCTGCGCGGCCCACATCTAGCTTCCGTGTTCTGTCGTCCGCGACGGTGTCTTGTGTTTGTCTGCCTTTGGTGCTTTTTGCTGATTGATTTTCCATTGAGAGTCTCACCCATTTCCCAGTCGAAGAGCTCAGCTCATAGTCTTTGTTTCTGAAGTTTCTGTTTCCTGACCAGTCAGCTAAGGAGCCTGGTAGCATAGTAGATTATGTGTTGGGATACAAGGTCAGCAGTTTGAATTTACCAGCTGCTCTCTGGTGAGACTTTCTGCCCCCATAAAGATTTATAGCCTCAAAAACCCTATAAGCAGGAGTGGGGAACCTTTCTTCTTCCAACATTTATAACATCACTTGTGAGTCTAGCAAAAGTATCAGTGTATTTGGTCAGACATTTCATTAAGTCGGCCCTGCTGTGATGGGCTCCTAGTGTGTTGCTGCATGCTAATGTGCTGGACAACAGGAGGAGTTTGAACCACTGGCCTTTAGGTCAGCCACTCCTTGGAATCCCTAAACAGGGTCACTATGAGTCAGAACCAATTCTCCGGCACTTAACAACAACAATGTGAAGACTGGAACTGTGGTTGCCTTGGCAAGACCAGACCAAATGATTTCGTGGGCCTTTTATGGCCCGTGGACCGGACGTTCCCCACCCCTGTTATACAGGGTTGCTATGAGTCTTCACTGAGAAAGTTTAATAAAATGTGATGAAATTCATAAATGTACCCAGCTTTTAGGGAGTTTGTATGACTGATTTTTCTAAGCAGTTGCAATTCTTGGGAATTACCGTACTACTCGTGGCCAGATTTTAGCAGTCGTTTTAATGGTGCTCTGAACCCCGATTGTGGTTACATTTGGAGGCAAAAGTTTTACTTAGAAATAACTTTACATGTGACAGGAGAGCAGCAAGTTGACCCCGCAAAGAGAGAGACCTGAGTCCGGCGCGGCTCCTCTTTGTCCTCTAAGACTGTCGTTGGGAAGGTTGTGAGCTGGAACAGACTCAGCGGCACACCACACAAATCTGTGAAGTCAAAAGTCACATTCGTATTATTTCTTAGTTGACTTGCATAATGAAAAGTTAGATCTTAGTAGGGAAAAACTTATTTTTCAAATACAGTTTTCAAACAAAAATAGAGTATGAGATGAATCTTTGTGTAATTTCTCTCTGTAGGGGTATCGAATGGACGAGTTTGACTGGCTTTCTTTCTTTCGCTACCTCAGCACCCAACAACATGGGCTTAGTGAGAAATGAACTTCAGCTGGTGGATCTTCCAACAGGTTTGTGCATTTAGACAGTGAGAGAGCTCAGAGTAGTTTGTGTGACTGATCCGAGGGGCTTCTATTAGGAGACATGTTCCACGGTTCTTTTGTCCTACTTACATGGTCATTATCTAATTCTGTAATAATTGCCCTAGTAAAGTCTCATCCGCATTTGTATGTTAATTTTGTTAAAAGAAGCCGATGGTTAAACCGGAATACCATTAACCTGAGCAGACAGATGGTAAAATATATGCTAATTTCTGCTTTCAAGTAGATCATTATACATAACCAGATCAAGTTTAACATAATTTTTTGTATTTAGATTTTATTAGAGTCTCTATTAAAAATTTTGACCAGTGTAGAAAACTCTCTTAAAGCTCTTAAAGATTTAGGATTGCTTCATTGCTCCAACTGACTGAATAAGGAATTTGGCTTTGGGGCTGGAAGACTGGACAGTAGGAAACATATCCATGAGGTCATTTGTTCAGAATGGATACAGACCCAGAAACCAATCAATTTCCAAATAAATAACTTGAAAATATATATAGTAAGGCAAGAGTTTCAAAATATTTTATAGCACATGCAATGATGCCAAATAGATTTTTTAACAAAATTATGGTGAGTTTCTTTAAAATGGTATATAGCACTAGGAGTCTGGGGATGATTTTCACCCATAAGGTGTTTGTATGTTTTGTGTATGTGTAATACATAATGTGTATGTTCTCCTAGGTGATGTTATTCTCACCTAATAGAGTTTGTTCATGAACCTCAAGGAGCCAGTCCCACTTCTAGTCCAATGTCACTTGAAAATGGATTTTAGTCCCAGATCCCTGACTTGTCAACAAACTGACATCGGCTCTCTGTGTAGTGATGTCGTGTCCCAGAGCTTAAATGCTGCTGTGTGGGATCAGCCACCAAACACAAAAATCAAAAAGCCTGTGTTTTTTCCCTGTCAGCCTCAGAGCAGGAATGTTAGGCCGCTTCAAACCTGTCTTCTTTTGAGGGACAAAGTTGTGTTGTAAGAGTAGCTGCCCTTTGAAAGTGGAACACTTGGGTTCCTGTAGACTCATAGCTGTGTTTCCCGGGAGAGGCTGACGAGTAGAGTTGGGAAAGGCTTTGGGTAACTGGTGTGTAGGACTAGTCGACTTACTGAGCTCCAGGGGAAGGCACTCAGGCTCTGAGTCATGTGTGAATTGGGTACCTTCTCTCTAAGAGGTGAAGGAAAGGTGTACATATTTATTTATTCAGACACTGGTAGATTGTACTTGTTTTATTCCCAGAAAACTGTTTCACTTCTTTGGCAGCTAAGTCATTGGATTCTTTTATAGCATACAAGAACCCTGAATTGTAGAATCTTTCTGGTAGAATCATGTCAAAATGTTATTGAAGTATTTTTCACATAGGGCAAGGAATCATAGATACTTTTTTGAAGAGTATTCTTCCTCACTGGTTAGTATTTGAGGACATGGGAATGTGTATGTTACTTTTAAACAAGTCATTTTACAGTGGACAATCGCTCTAACCAAACTTGAACAATGTTTCATTGATACTGGATCCAGTGGAATTCTTTGAAAGAAGCCATGGAAGAAATTCAAGAAACTGTTGTCCTTTTATAAAATAGGTATTTGTTGGTTGTTAAATTTTAATAATTGTTTTGAGAGATCGTTTTTGCGTTTAGATCATGTGAAACAGCTCCAGAGGAATTGAAAGAATGGTTGGACAGATAAAGGGTGGAGTGGAACTAAGTCCTCAGATGACATCGACACGGCTTCTTGTATCTGAAATTTTCTAATTGTTGTATCACCTTGTTTTCTGTGTTTATAATTCAAGGCAGGAGCATTGCTTTTCGTGGTGAACGAAGTAATGATGAGCCGCCCATCGAAATGATCAAAGTGTCTCATTTAAAGTAAGTGTCATTCTTAAAAAAAACCAAAACTCCAAATTGATGGTATTATCTTAGTGGAATCTCATAGATTCTGTACCTGTATCTTTAATTAGATTGGAATGTGTTAGATTGCATACAGACTTTGTTATTGTTGGTAAGTGCCATCGAGTCGGTTTTGACTCATAGCAACCCTGTGTACGGTTTCCAAGGAGCAGTTGCTGGGTGTGAACCGCTGACCTAGCAATTAGCAGTCCAATGCTTATCCTACATTGCCACGCCCAACTTTCTTAGTGATAGCACATGGTGAGGTGCAGCCGTTACATATTTTGATCATGAAACTCAGCCCTCCCACTTGCCATTCAGCATCACTGAGCAGATGAGGGGACTGTTTTGTAACCTCAGTACTTCATTTGGTGAAACCAGTCCCCGGTCTTATCACTGTAGCACAACTGACAAGCATGGCTAGCAACCTCAGGTGGGTTTATTGAGAGAAATAACTTACTGTCTTTCAATGTAATTTAGACTCATTTTCTTTCTAGTAATTTTTTTTTGTTTCAAGGGAAAATCCACATAAAAGAGAATTATTAAAAATAGAAACCGAATGAATAGAAGTCCAAAGAACAAAGGCATACATAGCTCAAATGATTTCCCAAAATTTCCAAAATTGCTCTGGTGGTTCTAGGAACTTTGTGAGGAGCTCTGGTAGTGTAGTGGGTTATACATTGGACTGTTAACCACAGGGTCAGAAGTTCAAATCTACCAACCGCTCCTAGGGAGAAAGAGGAAACTTTCTGCTCCCCTAGATATTTACAGTCTCAACCCCTATACAGAGTCCCTGTGACTCTGAACCCACTGGACAGCACTTAACACCAACAGCAAGAGGGTCTTCGTGTTTCCATATGATTTTTAGAACCAGCTTGTTGATTTTCACCAAAGAAAAACTTCCTGAGATTTTGATTGTGTTTATACTGAACCTGTGGATCACTTTGGATCACACTATCTAAAGAGTCCTGGTATGGTGCTGTGGGTTAATGTGCTGGACTGCCAGGTCAGTTTGAATCTCAAGGTCGGCAGTTCACGCTCACCAGCCACTTCTCGGAAACCCTATACAGGGTCACTATGGGTCAGAATCAACTTGCCATATAAAGATTTGAATGTTGTGCTAGGGTCCATGAGGATTTCTTTCTCAGGAGCACCAGAAGGTCACACAGGCTGTCTTGTCAGGGGCAGACTTGATTCTGAGCAGGAGGACGATGTTGTCCTTGGAGCTCCCCGCCGGGTCACAGTGTCAGTTACCTTTCAGGCTGTGTGTAATCCAGGCTCAGCTCCTGTGTGTTGGGTTGTAGTCATTGACTTCATTCAGGAGTTCCTCCATAGCAACCAATTCTGGCCCATAGCAACCCGACAGGACAGAGGAGAACTGCCCCACACTATGCTTTACGGGAGCATACAGATTCCGCTTTCTTCTGCACAGGTGGGTTTGAACTGCTGGCCTTGTGGTTAGCAACCTAGTGCTTAGCCCACAGTGCAACCAGACTTGACAGGGAATGAATGAAGTGGCTTGTTGAATACTTCTTGTGATAGGACAGTAGAAACTATGTTTTTGGATTTTTTACCCCTATAACTTACATATCAATCCACTGAGGGAAAAGTTTTATTCTTGTATCCTATATGAGAAAATTAAACCTCAGGAGGGTTAACGTAAGTTGTGGTGTCTGGATTTGAACCCAGGCCTTTCCCCTTTCTTCTGGTCTGGCCACCTGACCTATGTGAGGTTATATATGCTCTCCAGGAACATCTTACAGCTTGACCTTCTTAAGACTTCATTGGTTGTTGTTGTTGTTAAGTGCCGTTGAGTCGGTTCTGACCCAAAGCAGCCCTGTGTGTTGTATGTGCTCAGAGTAGACCCGCTGAGTTCTCTCATTTATTGAGCTTTTTGTACTGATTCCTGGTAAAACTTTTGTGAAGGGACCTGAATTCGTACTTTGTTTGTTTTAGACAGTATCTGGCAATTGTCTTCAAAGATAAACCTCTGGAGTTATGGGATATTAGGACTTGTACCCTCCTTAGAGAAATGTCCAGAAACTTCCCTGCAATAACGGCATTGGTAAGTTGCAGTTTTAAAATGAAATTGTGTATATAGGTATGTATGAAGGGGCTTCAAAAGTTCATGGAAAAATGGAATTGAAAGGTAATGGAATTTTTCCAGGAACTTTTTGAAGCTCACGCATATTTGTGGTAAATGATTTTCTTTAGTTTGAATTGAAATCTTTCATGCCATATGTTTTCTTATGAGAAACAAAATGATTTCAATAAATGGAGATAAATCTTATATTCTTTGATGACTCAGCCTAATATTTACATACATGCAGTTCCAATCAAAATTACTTTTTTTTTAAAGGATCATGAAAACCGTATCTTAGCATGTTTATGAAAGAATAAAGGCCCTGAGTGGCTAAGTCAAAGCTGAAGAAGGGAGGAAACAGCAGGAGTGTGGCTGAGGCCTGTCCTGCCAGATACTAGCATGTACTACGAAGCCACAGTAAAAAACACAGTGTTGCATTGGCACAAAGACGTAAATGGACCAGTGTAATCAGATGCTCTGAACCCATGAGTTCACATACAGTAAAGTAACACACAGCTCAGTTCAGTGGGGAGAGGATGGGTTTTTGAAAAACTGCCTCACTGTATGGGGAGTAATACAGGATCTCTGTCTAACACCAGAGTCCTGGTGTGGCACTGTGGGTTAATGCGCTGGACTGCAAGGTCAGTTTGAACTGCAAGGTCAGTGGTTCAAGCTCACCAGCCACTCCTCGGAAACCCTATCTAGGGTTGCAAACAACTCAATTGCACTTAACAGCAACCTAATACCATGAATTCGTGGTGTGGCGCTGCAGGATAATGCACTGGACTGCAAGGTTGGTTTGAACTGCAAGGTTGGCAGTTCAGATCCACTAGTTGCTCCTCGGAAACCCTATACAGGGTCATTTTGAGTCTGAGCTGACTCAACAACACTTCACAACACCAACCTCTATGCAGTGAGGCTTTTTCCTGGATGAAAGCCCTAAATATAAAGCTGTAGCCTCATAAATTACAGAATATTGTGTGATCTGGGAGGACATCAGAAAGTGGAAAAGCACACGATCACATCAAGATGAATACTTTTTTAAAATTTAACTTGTGAATTTTAGCTGTTGTTTTAGGTGTCCACATGTTCCTTCTCCACACAGTTAATATGATAAAAACAGATTTCCATCTTTTGGAAGGAGACATTCAGATATGAGGCACACTTTTAGGAACTGTATTTAAACCTTTATATTATTTGGAGACATACGTTCTCAGTCACGTGGCCTCAGTTTTACTTGGTATGATTCTTCCGGTTGGGTTTAGCATACAGTTTTACAAGCTTCTAGAAAGCCTGTTCTCTTATGTCAGAAATAGACCCTGAGTCAAGGACTGAGGTTTCTGAAGGAAGGGCTCCAGGGAGACACACCAGAAAGTGAGTGGGGGAAGGACAGGGAAGCGGGGAGTCTGGCAAGGGCACAATTTCAGGTGCAGGCCCAGATTCCCAAGGGTAAGGCTGGGGTGGAAGTTACTCCTCAGAATAGGTCCTTGAGGCAAAGAGCTGGATTTCTGGACTCCCAAACGTGTTGGTTATTGGCAGTGGACAGCTGGCTGGGAGGTTGGGTGGCTCTGCACATGGGCTGTGCTGGTATCCAGTGCCTGGTCACAGGTATGTGTCATCCTTTAACTACAAGACACTCAGAAACTGGGGGAGAAGCACATGGAGCCGAGAACAGAGCCTCCCAGTGGAGCTGGTGGCACACTGCCGGCTACCCGTCTCATGTGGACCATGCTTACCACCACCCGGACTGCCTCCAGTTCGGGCTCTTTCATCACATTCTGCTGCAACAGGAAATGATTAGCGTCTGTGGAAAGTTCTGGTATTGGCTTTTCATCATCCAGAGAGACACTTCCTTCTAGTGTGTAGAAGGAGATGTCCTTGGAATGTCTCTGTAACCCAGAATAGCCATCCCGGTGGAAGATGACCTGGACCATTTGAAAACTGCGGAGGGCGTACTTTTGGCTCTCCTGATCCTTCAGTTCAGCAGTTTTCTGATATAGGCACTGAAGACAGACGAGAGGCTGGTGGTGGATGGCCAGTTCCTAGAATTTATCCAAGGATTTCCAAAGTCCATCGTCCTCCTCCTGGGTTTCTGGTTGGCTTTTCCAGTGTCTGACACTACCAGCCACCACCCAGGGAACATGGACAAACAGTAATGAAAAGATTGGCGTTCCAGTGGAATAGTGGATGGAGTAAGCGATTGAATAGCTGTTCAAACTCTGGTTAGTTTTAGAAGTGTATGAAGTGCAGTGGCCACAACATAGACATAGCCGTTAGACTAATGCAGTTGGAAAGCCAGCTCCATCGGGGGCGGGGCTCAGGAGTCCTCGCACACTGCTGAGAACTGTCCACCAGCGCAGCCCTTCTGGGGGCAGACTCCCTAGGCAGACTCAGCTTCTCTCTGCGCCAGTCAGCTCCTGCTCCTAGAGCGCCTTTTGTGAGGACATCAGCAGCAGCATGATTTGTCCTGGTGGAAGGTGGGAGACAATCCACGTGCCCTCTGCAGAGAGACAGGCAGATTTAAAAGTGACAGGAGTGTCACCAGGGTTTGGTAGTGGTGTGCCACCGAGTCAGTCCGACCCATAGTGACCCTGTACAGCATTTCAGAAAACCTCTTTCTCCTGAGGAGAGACTGGTAGATTTGAACTACTGACCTTGCAGTGAGCTCATAATCCACTATACTGTCATTGCTTCTTAGGAATGTTAGGTAGCCTTCCCAAACGTCAGCGCATTGTACTGAAAGTGTAAGAAACCAAATGAGCTGTCTAACACAGCGCTGCTTATGTAGATTACAAGCTCATGTGGGTATAGCAGCTTTAAGTTCAAAAGGAACGGCAATTTGGGAGAAGAAAGTGGATCAAGAGCCTTACAGTTAGTGGGAATGTGAGGGAATCAGTGAAGCTAGAGAGGCTTCTGTGGACAGATGCAGGACAGTGGGCCAGGATTTCAGGGTAGGATTGCCTCGACCCTATGCCCCTAAAGGTTGATGGGAATCAAGATTGCTTAATTAAGCTCATTCATTTGTGGATAAGAAAACATGAGAAGAATGGACCTTGTGGAAGGCAGTTTGCTGTGATTTAGAACCCACTCATTGGACGCATCATTAGTAGGTGACGCCTGAAGAAAGCACAGACTGTGTGTGCTAACACTGGGCAGTGCTAAGGGTTTCTCGTCTTGGTGTCTCCTGTGCAGGAGTGGTCTCCGTCTCACAACCTGAAGAGCCTGAGAAAGAAGCAGCTTGCTACCCGGGAGGCCATGGCCCGCCAGACGGTGGTCTCAGACCCAGAGCTGAGCATCGCGGAGTCATCTGTGATCAGGTACGGCGTGGCACTTGTCATTGTTGGGAACTTGACAGGTGCCATCCTGGCCATCTGCTTTGAAACTTCACTGTGTGTCCAGTAAGGTACACGGTCACTTCACGTTGTCAACACTCAGTAGTGACTCTGATTATCCTCAGTGCCCTCTGCAGTCCAAATGAAGGTAACCCAAACCCTCAGGTAGACCAGCTGACCGTTCGTGAACACCAGAACGAATGGAAACCCCCATGCCCACCACTTGTGCAGATAAGCAGCCCCACAGGTAATGTTGGGGAGAAGCCCGGTAGCTCTTCGAGTGGCCAATGTCTGCCCCAGAAACAGCTGTGGCCCTTTGCCCTGAGTTAGGTGGAGCTCACCATGTCCCTCTGCAGGGGCAAACTTCCTGTCATGTGATAATGTGAGTGTGGTTTGCATTTTACATTATTAGTTGGGTAAAGGTGAGTTTCAGACTTTTTTTTATATTTTCATGGTTTGGGGACCACCTATTAGAATATCTGTATTTTGGATGAGTTAATTAACTTTAGGTGCCATTTTAAAGAAATGATCCATTTCTGTCTTATTTTTATCTGTCCCAAAGTTTGCTGCAGGAAGCAGAAAGTAAATCTGAGCTCAGTCAGAACATCTCGGCCCGGGAGCATTTTGTGTTTACGGATAACAATGGCCAAGTTTACCACCTGACTGTGGAAGGCAGCTCGGTGAAGGACAGCGCACGGATTCCACCAGACGTGAGCTCAGCTCTTAATCTTAATCAGGAATTCTCACCCAAGAGTTGATTGTTTCCATATCCAGTGAAACCATAGTTTGGTCGGGAAACTTGTTTGCCCCAAATTGCCCCTGGCATGAAAGGATGAAAATAACAGTGTGGAGGTGAAAGTTTCATAGATAATCAAAAATAGAAAAAGTAACCCAATGTTAAGTGTGTAGAAAGATAAACGATGGTTAGAGTACCGTAGTACGTGTTACACTTTTTTTGCAAACTACACCTCCTCCCATGCTAGCTTCCTAGGAGCTTTATGCAAGTGCTCTCTGTCTACACATTATTTCGGTAGGCACGTTACTTGCAGAAAACACGGTATGGACTCAGGAGGTCCTGTGTCAAGTAGCTGTCCCTTGGACACTCAGCTTGCTCCTCCCATGGAACCCAGAGTGTCCCCTCAGAGCCCTTCTGGTATCAACCTCTGGTTCCTAGTCACTTCATAGCTGAGATTCGAATGTGGAAACAGTCCAACAAGTTCACATTCAGAGTTTTGAGACACTGGCTAAAAAAAGCCCCCAAAACTGTGTTCAGATTTGTGGACTTGAGGCACAAGAGTTTGTCTTTAGTGCTCCTCCCTTCAGGGTAATAATTGTGCCCCACAGCTTTTAAGGTCCCTTCTATTTGTGGGGGCATGAAGTCAGGATACGGTGAGTCTCTGCTCTGCTTGGCAAACCGAATAAAACCCAAACCTGCTGTCATCAGTACCATGGCCACTCAAAGTGACCCTCAGGACAGAGTAGCACTGCCCCATAGGGTCCCCAAGGCTGTGAGTCATAGGGAAGCAGCCTGTCCTGTCTTCTTCCCATAGAGTGACTGATGGGGTCAGCTTGCCAACCTTACTAACCTGCTTGGCAGCTGAGCACGGGAAGCACTGTGTTACCAGGACTCCTCCTCCTGCTTCAGACCCCTGTCACTCAGCCCAGAATGACCCACCCAGTAAGGGTCCAGCCCCAGGGCAGTTAGTACAGACTTTAGAACAGATGACTGTCAGAGCAAGGAATGGAGCCCGGTCACAATACTCGGCCAGTTGGCTTTATTTTCCTGAATTAATGCGTTTTCCAGTGCTCTAGTGCACACTGGTTAGAGGCTTGTGTGTCTTTCTTTTAATCCAGTGTTTGTCTTACCCACCCCTCCATTGTGTGGCACTATGGGATAATGCACTGGACCACTCGCCACTCCTGGGAACCTATACAGGGTCACTATGAGTCAGAACTGACTCGAAGGCAATTAACATCTACAGTAACTCTTTAAATGTCAAGTATTAAGCATTCATTTTCAGTTGAAACTTTTCCTCCTCATTTCAGCCCCAGAATTGTAGAGTGAATGGAAACAGTAAAACCAAGGGTAAAACCTGGCTTGTTTTGCACTATGTGCACTTTGAGTCCTGGTGTGGTGCTGTAGGATCAGCACGGAACTGCTAACTGCAGTGTTGGCAGTTCAAACCCACCAGCTGCTCCTTGGAAACCCTATACAGGAAACGAACTCCACGGCACTTGACAACAACAACAACACGTGGGGAGTCCTGTTTGCTTCCATTCTTCCTTCTGGCTTTGATCCATCATATTTTCCATGTTGGCAACATATCCATGTCAAACAGTAACGCTCTGTTGAGCCTCGGAAACCCTGCACAGGGGCGCTATGAGTTGAAACTGACTACAGCACACAGCCAACAGCCCATCACCAGGGTTTTATTCATTTATTTATTTATATTTGATTGGTTATAATAGTTGTTGAGTGCTGTTGTGTTGTTTTCAACTGATGGCAGTTCTGTATACGGTTTCCAAGGAGCAGCTGGTGGGTTTGAACTGCCGACCTTATGTTTAGTTTTCCAGGGCTTATCCCACAACAGTTTGTGCTGTTGAGTCAGTTCCTACTCATAGCAACCGTGTGTAGGGTTTCCGAAGAGCAGCTAGTGGGTTTGAACTGCTAAGCATGTAATTCGCAGTCCAGTGCTGATCCTGTTTTTCCTTAATTCTGTTTTCCTGTTGTTTCATGACTGCTGCTAGGATTGAGGCACTCTTTGGGATGTGGGCCACGGCTGCTTCCCATTGATCCATGGAAGTACCATGAGAGCAGAGTTCACAGACTGTTTTGTTGTCTTGTAAAGGCAGAAACGGGCTCGCTCTCAGTAACTAGAGAATTGAACAGTGAAGTCGTTATGAGACAGCCAGCATGTACGGATTGCTTACAACAGGACTGGCGTTGCTCCAAACCTTCCCCTCTGGATCCATCTATCGATGGCAGCACTGCTGTCTGGCTAGTTCTGAAGAAATTGTGGGCGCCTTTGGAATGGGGTTATTGTCCTGTTGTGATTGATGATTTAGAGGCAAGACGGGGAGCTAAAGTCTCCCTGGGAGGCTCTCCTTCCTCAAAAGACATCAGTTTCCAATAGCTTTGGTGTTGTCAAGTACTGCCTCGTCAGTCCCAACTCATAGTGACCCTGCATAGGGTTTCCGAGGAGCGGCTGGTGGGTTTGAACTGCAGCCTTGAGGTTAAAAGTCCTGCACTGATCCAACAGTGCCACATCAGGAGTCCTCCAGTATCTCACAGTCTGCCAAATTGGAGTCTCGTGTTTCTTCCTCGTTTAGATCGGTATGCCACGGAGCTCGTTTAGTGCTGGATGGCATTCACCCTAAAACAAAGCCCTTAGTAATGAAGCGTCGCTGGCTTACCTGTATGATGTCCGTCCTACAGCCATCATGGAGAGCGGTGTCTCTTGTTAGGGCAGCTCGTCTCCAGCGAAGCTCGTGTGTCTCTTATTGTCGTTTTCTAGGGAAGTATGGGCAGTATTACCTGCATTGCTTGGAAAGGTGACACATTAGTTCTTGGAGATGTGGATGGAAATTTAAATTTTTGGGATTTGAAAGGCCGAGTATCCAGGTATGAGGCAAGAGTGGAAATTTGTTATTCGGTTAAAGATGGGGCGGGGAGTAAGCTTTTAATGTATGTAACCGTGATTTCTTGGAGGCTGTGACTGGGAGAGGAGGGGTGGCCACATGGGCCCTAGGGATTAGGTCCCTAGTCACCTGAACTTGAACTTGGGAGGAAGGACCTTGAGCTAAGCCCCAGTTAGTCAGAGGTCAGAGGTGTGGGAGAGCTGGGACATGGTTCCTACTCTTGTGAAGGGGCAGATCTCTCTGTCAGCTGTTCTAGTCTCAGAAAGTCTCTTGGGCCACCTGCCACCAGGCCTGGTTGGGCTCAGAACCGGCATGAGACTTGGCTCTGTGTCTCTACCGCCTCTCATCCTGTGATTCTTGTGTGTCCTCAGAGGGATTCCTACACACCGGAGCTGGGTCAGGAAGATACGCTTTGCCCCTGGAAAAGGAAACCAAAAACTAATAGCAATGTACAATGACGGGGCCGAAGTGTGGGACAGCAAAGAGGTAGGCCTGCTCGTGATGATGAATATAAGTACTGTGGGTTCCAAGCCCGCCTGTTCCAGAAACCAGACTATGTCATGGGTTTGTCAAGTTACTGTGGACAGTTGAAGTCTTTCTAAGAGCGCTGCCTTTTACACTGTTTCTCCAGCTGACAGCCCAGCCCTGGTTCTCCCGGCATCACTGCCTCGGAGACACTTGCAGTGTCTGCACCTGGAAGAGGCGGCACAGCTGGAAACACGTGGCACCTTGCCCAGCACTGTCTTCCTGCCCATTTACTCTCGCAGGTTCAGATGGTGAGCAGTTTGAGAACTGGACGAAATGTGAGCTTTCGGATCTTGGATGTGGACTGGTGCACGTCGGATAAAGTGGTCCTGGCGTCGGATGATGGCTGCATCCGGATCCTGGAGATGTCCATGAAGGCCCCATGTTTGCGGATGGATGAACAAGAGCTCCTCGGTGCGGAATGCCGATGGCAAGGCGGGGAAGTAGATGAGGGAGGGCTGCCTCTGTCCTGCTCAATCTCAGTTTCTAGAATCCGAGTTGAGGAAAATAGTGAGTGGTCACTCTTGCCCCAGATCAGGGTTTGTGAGTGCCGTGGGCCCTGGTGGTGCTTAGCTGTGAACCGTAAGGTTGGCTGTTCTAACCCCCCAGCCGCTCTGGGAGAAAGACATGGCAGTCTGCTTACATGGAGACGCAGCTTTGGAACCCGATGGGGCAGTTCTGCTCTGTCCTCCAGGTCACTGAGGCAGAACCGACAGGACGGCGGTAGGCTGTTTTCTCTTTGACCCTCTTCTGTGGGCTTTGCCAACAGGAAAAGACGTTTATGTTCATAAAAATGGCTTAATGGGAGCCTGTCCTCATCACAGCCACGATGCTAGTGAGGTCCGCTCGCTGGCTTTTGGATGCCATTTCCACATGTCCTGGCCACCATCCATCATTGAAAACTCCCCGCAGGAAATGTCCCGGGTATCAAGAGTTTAAAAGCCCATGTTCTGGTGTGTTAGATAGTCAGTTACAGTAAACTTGGATGATTCTAGTAGCATGCCCCTTTTTGTATGGTGGTTTTGAGAATTTTTTGACCATCAGCTTGAAAGGTAAGCTTGTCTGGTCACACTGAAGCCAGCAGGGAGTACGGTCCAGGAAGGATGCTCCAAGTTTGGCTGCTATGTGTACACAGGCTGTCTGATCTTTAGGAATTCCTTTACGACACCCCTCAGCCTTTCCTGAGCTTCAGCATAAATCTCGGGACCGTCCAGGCCACTTGGAGGAACTACCTGAGCCCTACATAGGCAGACAATGTCTGATGCTTCCTGATTCCAGAAGGATTTGAAAACCTGCCCCTCAAGGCTGGGCCGCCTGTAACCTTGCCTAGCTGTGCCCTCCTGGGGTGCTCTGTCTCGGCTCACAAGGCTGGGCCGCCTGTAACCTCGCCTAGCTGTGCCCTCCTGGGGTGCTCTGTCTCGGCCCTTTGCCACCCTATTTGAGTCCCATTGCCGCTTACTACGTAGCAGTGAATGCTGCCGAGGGAAACCCCCAGTGGAGGACATCTGTCCCCAGTCACAGTCCAGGTCCCCAGGGGGATGAGGATCAGAGCAGGGTAGGCAGCCAGAGGGACTTTGAAACCCAGTTACTGAGGAAAAGTCTTTTTATTGGTTAGTGACAACTGGCTCTAATTAGACTAAAACACGAATCATCTGAATGTTTGAAAAGCTGTCATTCACCTTTAATTTAAAATTGGACTGAAAAACTCCGGAGTCAAGGCAGCTAGTTCCTAAACTAAACTGACTACAAAATTGGAGCCAATCGTATTAGCATTCTTAACCCTGTACTTGATCCTGTGGCCAGATCATAGATTATGCTTTTAAAGGTTTTCTAATGAAAATACGTGTATGTTGCTTATTACCCAAGTCTTCTTTGGAAGTCCCTGCTGTACTGTGTCAGCCAGAAACGGAAGAATTTAAAGCTAAGAATGGGGACAGGGCAGTAAAATGGTTCTTACATTTCACACATCAAACTAACTCAGAAGAATACTCAATACATGGTAAAGACTGAAAACCCACGGTGCCAATTGCTGAAGTCAGTTCCAACTCACAGTGACCCTGTCTAGCATTTCCGAGGAGCAGCTGATAATGTTTGAACTGTCGACCTTGTGGTTAGCAATCCAGTGCTTAGCATACAGCAACACATAGTGGTTTAAACTACAGAGTTTGGGGGAGAGGTATTTGTTTGCATCCAGATGGTTTGGGGACAACATGTTGAATAGGGTTCTATTCTAGGGGTTATGCTTTTAAAGGAGCTCTGGGGCACAATGGAGTAAGCACAGGACTGCTAATGGCACGGTTGGCTGTTCAAACCCGCCAGCTGCTCTGAGGGAGAAAGGTGAGGCTATCTGCTCCCTCCTTGGAAATCCTACACAGGGTCACTATGAGGGCTGAGAAAGACGCTCAAGGGTTGCGCTTTAGTTGGAGGTAGAAATGCCTTTCCCGACTCTGCCCACTGAAAGGCTCGAGTAGCATTCAGTGGCAGGAAGCATTCCTGGCACCCAAACTCTGGTTTATGAATTCCAGGACTCCCTGGGGAAACAGCTTCTTCCAGGACAGAGGATCTGGGGACATCTGATGTCAGAAATGTAGAAAGTGCTCAACCAAGGAGATCCTGTCATAAGGGTGCGGAGACTAGCTTCCAGGGGCTGCCACTGCCAACTCAGGGCAGTGTGGGCATCCCAGAGAATCATTTGTTAGGTGTTCAGTCCCCAGAGAGGAAGGGGTTTGGAACGAAGGGAGAAGGGACACTGTAGAAGCACGTCCCTGGGTCTAAGTAGAAAGAACAGTTGGACAGACACCCAGCGCGGCCCCGGTGCCTTGTGGATTCCAACAAGGATCCTGGTGGGTGCGGAGCCATTGGGTACAGGGGAAATTCACCGTCTCACAGTGCCTCCCCCAGGTGACGAGTTATAAAGGAGGGACGTTTCCCTCATAGCAGTGCACTTGTGGATTCCAACAAGGATCACTGGTGGGTGCGGGGCCATTGGGTATGGACCTGAGGACAAGGAAATTCACCGTCTCACAGTGCCTCCCCCAGGTGACGAGTTATAAAGGAGGGACGTTTCCCTCATAGCAGCACCTTGTGAATCCACGAGAGCAGCTAAGACGTGCTTTCTGAGGTGCTGCACTGAGGAGGGAGGGGCCTGGCCTTGTCAGGTGTGTGTGATCCTGTAAACACGCTGCATGAAAGCACATGGTAACTGGACACAACGGTCTTCTCCCCTAGAGCCTGTGTGGTGCCCGTACCTCCTGGTCCCCAGGGCCGCCCTGGCCCTGAAAGCCTTCCTGCTGCACCAGCCGTGGGATGGACAGTGCTTGTTGGACATTTCTCAAGTGTAAGTAGTTTACAGTTTTGCTTTCCTTCCTTCATGTCCTGGGTTTGAGGACATCATTGAAATCAGGTTGTCGTCCAGAGCTTGGAGGCAGAGGAGGCGCATGAACTTGGAGCGTCATCCGTTGGCCTCTTCTGGCGTGGGGAAGCTGTGAAGATGTCTCTTGTGTGGTTGTCCTGAGGTGTGAACTAGGGCTTGTCACTGTTCAGAAAAGGATATGAGTGTGGGTAGGGCTGATGCTGGCTGAACTTAGGGGCCAAAAAAAGCTCCAGTGGGGCTGTATTAGAGGTTTGTGATGCTTTATAAGTCTCACTGCCTGTCTGATTGCAAAAGAGGAGCTCTCATTGGTGGTGGCTGGTTAAGTCCACAAATGTGGGCTGAGTTTACGCCTTGGGGCGTGTGAAGGTAGACGTGGGACAGGGAAACTGAAATGTCATCATACAGGGAGTTGTCTGTTCGCACAGAGCTCTTTAGTCACTGCCAAGTTCCTTGTTGGCTGGCATCGAGTCCAGTCCAGTGAGCAGCCTGGCGCTGAACAGCTGTGCTACCAGGGCTCCTGAGCTCCTTACCGTGGTGGCTCTAAATGTGGTATTTCCCAGAGTGAGCCTGCGAGTGAGTGGTCAGGGTTCTTGAACAGCAGAGCCTCTCTTTACTGAGGCCTTGGTCTTGATGCAGTGAGGTCAGTGCAGGTGTTGAAGGTTGGCAGTTGCTGAGTCGTGTGTTGAGGTTTAGGTCTGTGAGCTGGTTTTTCATCCAGGACTGTTCACATGGCCCTCAGCTGTTGGCTGGTTTGAAGTCAAGAGAGAAGGAACTCATCTCAATTCTTTCTCTGTAGCGATTATCCAGAGAATGAAGAAATAAAGGACCTCCTTCAGGAACAGCTGAATTCACTGTCAAAGTAAGCACTCTAAGCATGTCTTGTTGGTAAGTATGTGTGCTAAGTAGGCCTTGTTAAACGCCATCGAGTTGTTTCTGACTCAAGGCGACCAACCCCGTATAGGGTTTCCAAGGAGAGACTGGTGGGTTTCAACCACTGACCATGTGGTTAGCAGTCCAGTGCTGATCCTACCATGCCACACCAGGACTTACGAGAAGACAAAGCCAAGAAAGAAAAGTACAATAATATCGTCATTTAAAAATGAAAATAAGTTGCATTTTGAAAAGTATTTGTGAACCAAGGAGCTAGCATTCTGTTCATAGACATCTGTGTCCCACTAAAAGTTTCAGAAAGAAGCTTAATCGTCACATCTGTCTTTAAGGAGCTGATAAGGACCAGGTTGCTCTGATCTGGGCCCAGGGTACCCTAGAAGTAATCCCTCATCTGCCACGCGTCCCTGGGGGCCGTGCGTTAGAGGACAGGCCAGCTCTCCCCGCCTCAGGTCTGTGTCCGGTGCCTGTGTGCACAGTCCTAGCTAAGACATTTACATGTTCCCGAGAACCTGGAGCATCTAAAACTGTGTATCAGCAATAATGCTGCAGTAAGGTCTGCAGGTGAGACAGAGCACATGTTTATAATCTAGAATCTGGCACACAATTCTGATATTTAATAAATTAGCCATAAGAATGTTGATCACATAGTCAAAATAATTGCTTTATTGTGTTCTCCATTCCAAGAATCACATGTATGCTTAAATGGAAAACTACAGGTTTTAAGACCACCTTCCCACCTGATTACGAATGTCTTATATTTGGCTGTTTTCAAAACACCAATTTGTAAAACACTAGCCTTTGTCTTGATGGTTTAGCAAATGAGATTATCAATAATGGTGTCCTTGTTCATGTAAAGGGGGCTTCAAAAATCAGTGGGGACAGTCCATTCTTTTAGCTGCATTTCTCACAAGCTGCTTGAAGCCCCTCACAGAGTTAGGTTCATTTTGTCAAAGCATGAGTTGAGCTGTTGCAGGAAGGTAAGCCCAAACCAGCACATGCAGACCCCTGTGGTGGCTGAGCAATGCTACCATGTGAAGCCTGCACCACTGAGACTTCCACGGAGCTTGCATCCTTTCAGAGTCACTCTCCTTTTGTCCGGTGTAGGAGTGCCTTTCCCGTTGCAGGTGTATTGATTTGTCCGGTGTAGGCCTGCCTTTCCCCTTGCAGGTGTATTGATTTGTCCGGTGTAGGCCTGCCTTTCCCCTTGCAGGTGTATTGATTTGTCCAGTGTAGGCCTGCCTTTCCCCTTGCAGGTGTATTGATTTGTCTTCTTTCTTTGCATCTGATTGTCACTGTCTGGACTCCTGTGTGCAGCGACCTGAAGAACATTTTGCTGGATCCAGGATTCACTCTCTTGCAGAGGTGTCTGCTTGTTTCAAGGTAACAGTGGTAGCAGCATCCTTGCCAGCTACCGACGTGTCCCAGTTTGCTCTTTTCTCCGAGCAGGGGTTTAGGGTTTTAGAAAAAGACGTCAGTTCATCCTTTCGATTGGACTTACAATGAATTTTTCAAGTAGTAATAAAAACAAGAAAACAGATGATCAAAGTGAGATCTAGGCCCCAAAGTGATCTTTACTGAAGGGACTTCCTCCTACCCTACCCATGGTTTAAGCACCAGCACAGTGGGTTGGGAACCTGGAATGAGAAGATAGTGGAGTTTTCCCACTTTCTAAAGCCTCCTTATATTTATCCCTGCGCTCCCTTTAAGAGCGGTCACCTGTGTGGTCTCACAGAGCCAGGGTCACAGTGGCATTTTTCAGCTTGCCATCTAGTCATTCCTGGGACCATTTCCGAATGTCTGGCAGGCCAGCTCAGTGACTACCCAGACTCGGAAGGACCCTGGATTGTTGGACACAGCCTGGCACTTCCCCCGCTGGACAGGCGGTCACTGTGGTCCTAGCATTCAGGCTCCTCTGGGAAGCCTGTGCAGGCCCACGTGTACCGTGTGAGACCCGTGGTAACCCACGCCCCTCTCTCAGGCTTTACGGTGACGAGTCGGAGCTACACTTCTGGACGGTGGCTGCCCACTACCTGCACAGCTTCTCCCAGGACAAGTCAGCTGTGCGGGAAACTGCTTCCTGGGAAAAAGCCAACACCCCCCTGGATATTTGTTACGATATTCTTTGTGAGAATGCCTATTTCCAGGTATTCATGTCTGTGTTAAAACCTGTAAGACTGCTATCTTGATTATTCACATCTTTGTAATTACCATAAATTTGGGGGAACTTTTCCACTAAGTTACCATCCATGCAGTAGAAATCCATCCTCCTAGCACAGTAGCATCGAAAGGGCCGACTCAGGACTTGAACAACTCATGCATGAATATTTCATGCGGTTGGTTTAACTTTACTAGTTAGAATTTATATAAAGGTAGCGTCATAATGTTTTACCCTTAGTAGAGTACTTCAGAAGGACCCCTGGTGGCACAGTGGGTAAGTGCTTATCTGCTAGCAGCTCAGTGGATTGAACCCACAGAAGAAAGATGTGGCAGTCTGCTGCCCTAAAGGCTGTAGCCGTGGAAATCCTGTGGGCAGTTCTACTCCGTCCTGCATCACTACACTTAGAATTGTTTTGTTTCTTCATCTAGTTCTACTCCAGCACCAGTTTCTGTAAGCAGGCAAGCACACGTGATAGCACACTTCACCTTTTTGCTTTTTCAAGGTCTTTTTCGGTTGTTGCAGTTCTGTCACATTGCTTCTGTAGCAAGTTCAGAAATCAAAGTAATATCTACCAAAATGACTTCATTCATTTGCAGCAAGTAGCACTGACATCCCTCCCACCACATTCGGCGGGGTTTGAGAATGCACTGCAATACGTCCACAGTGATCGGGTTCACTAGGGAAGTTCACAGCTTACAACGCAGGGTCAGACAATGCTCAGGGCACAGGTCTTCCAGTCAGAACAGCCTCTCCTCAGCCGTACCTGCAGACAGACCTCTCTCTGACCATTGCCCTTAGGCCTGGCCTTTGCCCTGCTCAGCAGTGCTACAGAGCTCTTAAGAGGTCCTGATACAAGCCTCAGCTCAAAGTCTCTCGGCGCTAGCTCCGCGGTTACATGTCTGAGGCACCACACTCCACAAATGCGCCTCCTCACCAGAGGCTCGGCTTCACTTCCTGGACAGGAAGCTCCCGTCTCCGTCTAGTGCTCTGGCTCTTGGTTCTGTTCTGCCCCTCCTCCAGTGTCACAGCTTTCTGTCCCTCGGTCGAGAAGGTTCAATGTGTAATGAGCTTAGGGTCCATGGGATGCACCCCGCCTCTAGCTCTTCTTTCTTGATGACAGTGAGATCCCCACGCCTGCTTCAGAGCTGGCTCATTTTACATCCATGTTAGAATTCCACGTTAAGGGCCATTCACAGTGGAACCAGACAATCCTGTCGGCGTCTTTCCTACCTTCTCTTACCCAGACCCATCAGGGAAAATCATCTCTTGGTGGGAGTTTACAAAAAGGCTTTGGCTAGATGAGACATTAATCATTCCCTGCACCACTTAAGCACATTCAGTTGAATGAATTCAGAATCTTTGAATCCAGACTCACATCCTTTGTTTCTCTTCCTTCCTTTCTAGAAATTTCAGCTGGAAAGGGTGAATCTACAGGAAGTAAAGCGGTCCACCTACGATCACACAAGGAAATGTACAGACCAGCTTCTTCTCTTGGGACAAGTATGTCAGGTTCCTTACTGCTCTGCCATGGCTGGTGTTTCTGAACACCACGTAGGCACAGCACAAGCCTGTCTCCTTTTGTGTGTATCTCCTTCCCTGGAAGTGAGTGTAAAGGGTGACTGACTGCCACCAAGGAGCCTCGGAGACAGCAAAAGCCCATGTTTCCTCAGCTTGTAGCTCGGGCTTTCGCAGTGTTGCAAGTAGTCTAGCTGTTTGTTTGGCTTTGTTTTTTGTTCTCTCTTTCCTGATTCAAGGCCAGAATGAGCAGGTCCTGGAGCCCCTGTGTAAACAGACTGGTCTCATGTTCATCTGAAAGCCGCAGTTCTGTTTTTACATGTAAACCAAGCATTCTAGATCTCTTGTTGAGAATGAAGTCTTATGTAAAGTGTCAACATCAGCATTCCATTTAGGATTTGAAGGTAATGTTTAAGGAGCGCCTCCTTGTGACCAGAGACTCCATCTCCCACTCCTAGACAGACCGAGCTGTGCAGCTGCTGCTGGAGACCAGTGCAGACAACCAGCATTACTACTGCGACTCCCTGAAAGCCTGTCTGGTCACCACCGTCACCTCGTCGGGCCCCTCCCAGAGCACCATCAAGCTGGTGGCGACAAACATGATTGCCAATGGCAAGCTGGCAGGTGAGGCCTGTCGTGTAGGCATGCCTGTCACCTATTCCCAGGAAGCAAAGGATGACACTTAGAGATGTGCTTTCTGGAATAGATGCTGAAGAAATGAAAATAGTGATTGCCAGCTACTGACCAGGGAGTCCTGGGGTGGTACTGTAGGATGAGGCACTGGACCACAAGGTTGGTGGTTCAAACTTACCAGTCGAAACCCTATACAGGATCTCTATAAGTTGGAAGTGACTTGACAGCACGTAACAACAACTGACTGTATCGTTTAATCATGCACACCTGTTTTTAAGAGGCAGGGGACACTCTCTTAATAATTCTGCGAGGACAGTGGGTGCAGCTCTGACAACCCTGGGCAGGCACGAATGTGAAAACCCATGAGAGAGATGTGTTCTGTCTGCTCAGTTCTGGACTCTACGCTGACCCGCGTGGTAATGCCATGGAGTAACCATGTAGTAACGTCATGGGGTATCCAAGTGGGAAGGCCACAGAGTACCTGAGTGGTTATGTCATGGAGTTATACCTGCGTGGTAACGCCACAGGGTACCCAATTGGTAATGGAGTACCCATATAGTAACGCCATGGGGTACTCACGTGGTAACATCATGGGCTACCCATGTGTGAACGCCATGGAGTACCCACATGGTAATGTCATGGAGCATCTGCGTGGTAACGTCATAGAGTACCCGTGTGGTAGCACCATGGGGTACCCACATGGTAATACCATGGATTACCAGATCAGGAACGTCATGGAGTACCTGTGTGGTAACACCATGGAGTACCTATGTAGATCACCAGATTGGTAATGCCATAAATGGCATTACGCCATGGTGTACCCATTGGTAATGCCATAGATTACAAAAGTGGTAATATCCTGGAGTACCACGTGGTAACAACAAGGAACTCTATTTGGATGTCTCCAGTCGTCATGACGGCTACGGGGCTGGGCCAAGTCGAGCATGATCTGTCTGGTGACCTGTCACCGGGGCTGCTGTTGTCTTTTCCAGAGGGTGTCCAGCTGCTCTGCCTGATTGACAAGGCAGCAGACGCCTGCCGCTACCTACAGACCTATGGCGAGTGGAACCGGGCCGCCTGGCTCGCAAAGGTAGGTGCTTTCCGAAAGCCGTAAGCTTTGGGGGTGGGGATGGGAGGTTGTGTCTTGAGTGGGAAGTGTTTGTTGGCCTGAAGAGCTGCCTTTCAGGTACTGTACTGTGTGTGGTGATTTGGGCGACAGTTTGTAGAGCAGATCCGTTTTCCATTGCACAGTTCAGTCATGTGTGGTGTCATGTAATGATTGCAGGCCCCGCAGTGTGACCTCCCTTCCCCATTTCCTCCCTGTGTGTCTGGTTCCGTTATTCCTTCCTTCCTAAGCCTTCTGAACTTTGTTCCCCCAATACCCTGTCTGTTGTTGGGCTGAAAATTGAGCCCTAGGGGTGAGTTCATTTCCAGACTTGAAGGGTGACACCGGGCTATGATTACAGGCTCCCACCAGGCTCTGTCTGACCAATTTCTTTTCCTCTCACGGGGACATGGAGGCTGCATTGGTAGGGATTAAGAGAAAGCAGGTTCCTCTAATCCGAGTATGGGACGAGCCCAGTGACAGCTCAGACGTTTGGTGGTCCCTGCACCCCACACTGTTGGCGGTGAGCACAGCCCGGCGTTCGTCTCAGGCACCGACCCCATGCGTTTTGTTCGGGTTGGTGGTTTGTGTTTTGCTTTCTTCTATGTCGTGCAGGATCTGTCTCTCCCTAACGTGGGCCTCCTCCTCAGGTCCGTCTAAACGCTGAAGAGTGCGCGGATGTCCTGAAGCGGTGGGTTGACCATCTTTGCTCTCCGCAAGTCAACCAGAAGTCCAAGGCCCTCCTGGTCCTCCTCTCCCTGGGCTGCTTTTCCAGCGTGGCCGAGACGCTGCACAGGTATGTTCCGAAGGATGGTGGTGTGTGGCATGTGGAGGAAGTGGACTTCGGGCTTCTTCAACACCCGAAGGAGAGTGGAACCATCCATGTGTGTGACTTTGTCTGTTTAGTCCGGGAGCTGTGACTTGGATTACCAGTGGTAATCCACTGATCACTGGATAAAGCTAACCGGTCCCTATTCAAAGAGAATTTGAGAAAAAAAATCAACTGGGAATTAGGACAATTCAACTTCTTATAGAGCCACTGAGAGGAGGAACCCAGAGAGCAGGATGGAAGGTGGCAAGACGGTGAAGTCCCTCTGGGAGTTCTGAAAAGCAGTGCCCACCCCTTGATTATGGGGCATTTTATTGATTGAAAACAAAGGGAAATAGGTTGAGGCAAATGTGGCAAAATATTCATTGTTAATATGAAAGGGATTCAAAAAGTTTGTGGGAAAATAGAATTGGAAGACAATGGAGTTTTCTCCCATGACCTTTTTGAAGCCCGCTCCTATGTATTGATCATATCTTTGAAAATTTCTCTGTGTTTAGATAATTTTACTTTTTTTTTTTTTTTTTTTTTTAAGTATAAGAAAGTAAAATCTTGGGGAAGCAATCATCTTGGGGTTGGGAGAGAACAAGATGGGCCCAGGCATTTCCCTTACATACCGTGGCTTAGACGGTGTGGAGCTCAGGTCTCCCAGGGAAGCGTGTGCAAGTCTCTGGGTGCCGGAGCTACGCCTCACTCTGCTCTGTCTGCCAGCATGAGGTACTTTGACCGAGCTGCCTTGTTCGTGGAAGCCTGTCTGCAGTATGGTGTCATGGAAGTCAACGAAGAGACAGATATCCTTTGTGAGGGAAGGCGGGTATCAGAATCCTCCTCTCCAGTGCCGCCTGGGCAGGAGCCATGCTCTAAGGAGTCAGATCCATGTTCTGGTCCAGCAGAGTCAGGAAGAAGGGCAAAACAGAGGGGAAGACTGGCCAGGAGGTGGGCTTCAAGTAAAGCTAGAGGAAAGCTGTTGGTGAGCGGCAGAGGTGTTACTTCGCTGAAAAGCACTGTTCCAAAGGCGTGTGACCTGTGGCATAAAGCGCTACATGCAAAGGGGCTTCAAAATGTGCGGGAGAATTCCACCATCTCTTAATTCCATTGTCCCACGTACTTTTTAAAGCCCCCTCATGAGGGATCGAACGTGAAGCAAAGCAGCGCACCTCCAGACATGTCGTGCAGTTGGTCACTGTCATTCCTTACCCGGGAGCTGGGGTCGCCTCTTCTCTTAGAACAAATGAGCTGTAGAGCAGAGCGCCCCGTCCCTGGGTCTGCAGAGCCCTGGCTATTTCTGCCCACGCGGTTTTCCTGTGGTCTGTTGTAACCTTGTCTGTATGTGCCAAGTGTTTGGAGCTCTGGTAGCGTAGTGGTTACGAATCGGGCTGCGAACCTTAAGGTCAGCGGTTCGAAACTACCAGCCGCTCCGCTGGAGAAAGATGAGGCTTTCTACTCCCGTAAAGATTTACACCCTCGGAAACCCTGTACAGGGTCGCTATGGGTCGGAACTGACTCGATGGCACTTAACAACAACAGTTCATACAGCAGTCCTGGTGTGGCACTGTGGGTTAATGCACTGGGCTGCAAAGTTGTTTGAACTGCAACGTTGGTGATTCAAGCTCACCAGCTGCTCCTTGGAAACCCTATACAGGGTTGCTATGAGTCGGAACCGATTGAACAGCACTTAACAACAACGCATTTCACACAGTACATAACACTGAAGTCTAAGCTTATCTAAGGTCTAGCTTGCTCTGTTGTTGTTAGGTGCCATCGAGTCAGTTCCACTTTATAACAACCCTGTGTAGAGTTCCCTAGGAGTTACTGGTGTGCTTGAACCGCCGACCTTGTGGTTAATAAGCCAGTGCTTTTCCTATAGTGCCACACAGGCTCTGTAGCTCTGTAGGATTAAGTACTGAACTGCTAACCACAAGGTCCGTGGTTCAAACCCACCAACTTCTACTCAGAAACCCTGTACAGGATTGCTATGAGTCGGTACCATCTCATGGGCACTTAGCATCAAGATCTAGCTGGTCCCAGGTAAAGTTGACTTGGGTTTGAAGCACACAAACGAATAGGGCTGTCTGAAAACTCGGCACCTGCTGTGGGGCTGACCCTCAGCAGTTGGACCTCAGTGACCACCTGTAACCGACATGGACAAGGGTTTACACTCAAGCTTCTCGGTCATGTTGTCTCCAGTCATTAGCTGAGTGTCAGCCACGGGCAAGCAGGCAGGAACTCTGGGAGGTCTTCCTGAAGCAGCTGAGGTGTAGTGAGGTTACCACTGAGCAGGAACATACCCTTTCCACCCTGGGAGACACACGATCTGTAAGAGTCACCTGGTGGGTCTGGATTCAGTCTCTCAGGGATGGAGGCAGAATGACCAGGTTGGAAACCCTGCGGAGACTGCGTGTCCCCACAGGGAAACACTCCCCAGGGCTGCCCCCTTTCCCGTTGCTCCTCTGTTCCTTAACTGGGGTGCACAGAAACTCATCTCTGCTGTGTATGTGGATTATGCGCGGAGTCTGAAGCACCTGAGCTTTAAACAGGGAGCTGTGCTCTTCGCTTCTAAAGCCGGAGCAGCTGGCAGAGATTTACTGGACGAGCTGGACTGCCCCCAGGAAGACCTGACCGAGGAAGAGTGACCAGATGGCACGGGCCAGGAGCGCCTGACTGTGGAAGCAGGCTGGCTGGTGGCCAGTGGGCCGTGGTCAGGGTTACAGTGAAGGGGGAGGAGGCCAAGCCTATTCCTCAGGTGGGGGGGTGTGGGGGAGCCTCGGGAGCTGCTTCCCCACGCCCCTCGGGCCATCTGTGCGACGGAGGAGCCAGGCATGTGCCATGTACAGCCGCCAGTCCTGCAGCCGGCATTTACTGCAGAGAAGGACATCAACACCTCAGACTCTTCAATGTATGGGACAGTCTGTATCTTCAGGGGGCTTAAGAGTCCCTGGAAATACTTTTAATTTTTTTTTAATTAAAATTCAAGAGACTGAATAGTTTTTCTCATGGGCAAATTGAGGGATATTAGGAGGCTCTCTTGAGGAATAAGCTTGTGTGTACCGTGGCCACATCTGTATACACTCATTTCAGACTCAAACAGGGCAGACATACAGGGGACTTCAAACAGTTGGTGAAAAATGGAACTGAAAGGTATTTCAGGCTCCTGCTACTTACAGATGGTTGACCAAAGCGTTCAGTCCTTGTGTTCGTCCCTTAAAGCGCCGCCCGCACTGTTAGTCCTTGGGTTTGGGCAGTGGGTAACTTTCTGTCCTTTCAGGTTCGCCGGTTCCCAGAAAGTTTGAAGCTGCTTGCTTTGTCCCTGGATGGGCGTCTTTGGTAGTTTGCATTTTAACCCCTGCTGCACAGCATTACAGTAACATCACTCTTGAAATATCGCTGTTAATGTCTTGTTTATGTTCTTCCCAGAGCTGAAATCTTGTGACTATTATAAAATGTTGCTAAGAATCTAAACATCTAGAACTTACAAAGTTGATAAATAAAAGCAAAGTCCACACAGTCTCTGTGTTCTGTCTGCGAGGTGTGTGAGACCAGAAGGCCCTGCACCTGTCCCCCCAAGGTCCAGCCAGAAGTGCCCATCCCGGCACATCAGGGGGCGCTAGTCTTACGTGATGCTCCTCAGAAAACACACAGGCATTGGAGATTGGCAGCACACAGTGGAATGGTTGGTCACTCTGTGAGTAAGTGACAAACCTACGGTGTAAGACCCAGCCCTCTCTGAGGGCCAGCTGGTGCTTTTTCCACCACGTCCACCTCTAGTGGGGGCAGACTTGCCTAGCCAGGCCCGGCCCCTGTGCACTCACTGAGAGGAGGAAGCTGAGGGGCTTCCATCAGCCCTACACTGTCAGGAAGAACACTGTTTTCAAAACCTGTAACTTTCTGTGCGAGAGTTTGGATTTCTGAGTAAATGTGTTAGCAAAACAAGTGAGGCCATTTTGTTCAAGTCCCCACCTCAGAGGGGAGCGTTCTCGAGACAGGAGGCCTCTGAACCCCCATGCCCCTGAGCTGACAACACCCATCAGATTCCACAGCAAAGAAAGCTCATTGGCGGATCTCCTGTGTGCCCCCCTGGGCTAGGACAGGCCTTCCTACAGCACTAGGATCTCCAGCAGTTTCTTGGATGCTGGACACTTGGATGAGTCAGGGTCCAGGACAGCCACAGGGCTCATTTTACTGAAGGCTGAGGGGCTGCGATGGAAGGCAGCAGGTCCAGGCTCCCCGGGCTCCTGTGCTTGTGTCTGCCCAAAGTCCAGGTTGTGTGGTGAACACAACCACAAAGCTCATGCAGTGTGTGCGGCTTTAACCTTTTATATCCTGAGAGAAAAGGGGGTTCCTTTCTAAGTACTGTTTAGTTGGGTTTCAATTCTTATATTCATTCTTTTCATTGAAATACTAGTGCATTTACATATAAAGGTATTGATTACATGTTCTTAACTAAATCCACCTATTTTTTATTTTTCTCACTTGTTTTGTGTTCTTTTTCTCTCCTTGCCTTCTTAGATGAAGTCTGTTGTATCATTTCAGTACCCTTCCCTGTTATCTTGTTAGTTGCAGATTTCTTTTCTATTAATTTGGTGATTCTATATCAGCTCGAGAAGATAAAGTCAAATATTGAAAGAAAATGTGCAAAGATCTGGAGTCAGAAAACCAAAAAGGAAGAACATGCTCAGCATTTCTCAAGCCGGGGGAACTGAAGAAAAAATTCAAGCCCCGACTTTTGTTATTGAAAGATTCTCTGAGCAAATTATTGAATGACGCAGAAAGCATCAAAAGAAGATGGAAGGAATACACAGTCACTGTACCAAAAGGAAGAAGTGGTTGATGTTCAACCGTTTTAAGAGGTAGCATATGATCAAGAGCCAATGATACTGAAGGAGGAAGTCCAAGGTGCATTGAAGGAATTGGCAAAGAACAAGGCACCAGGAATTGATGGAATGAAAATTGAAATCTTTCAAGAAAGTGAGGCAGCACAGGAGGCACTCACTTCATCTCTGCCAAGAAATTTGGAAGACAACTATCTGGCTGACTGATTGGAAGAGATCTGTATTTGTGCCCATTCCAAAGAGAGGTGACCCAACGGAATGTGGAAAGCATCGAAAAGTATCTGTGATACCCCATGCAAGTAAAGTTTTACTAAAAGTAATACAGAAATGGCTGCAAGTATACATTGACAGAGAACTTCCAGAGGTTCAAGCCGGATTCAGAAGAGGCCATGGAACGAGGGACATCATTGCTGGTGTCCGATGGATCTTGACTGAAAGCAGGGAATATCAGAAAGATGTTTACCTGTGCTTTATTGACTACACAAAGGCTTTCAATTTTGTGGATCATGACAAGCTGTGGGCAACACTGTGAAGTATGAGTATTCGGAACACTTAATTGTGCTCATGAGGGATCTATGCATGGACCAAGAGGCAGTTGTTTGAACAGAACTTGGGAACACTGAATGGCTTAAAATTAAGAAAGGTGTGCGACAGGGTTGTGTTCTTTCACCATACTTACTCAACCTGTATGCTGAGCAAATAATCTGAGAAGCTAGGTTATATGAAGAAAAACATGGCATCAGGATTGGAGGAAGACTCATTAACAACCTGTGATATGCAGATGACACAAACTTGCTTGCTGAAAGTTGAGGAGGACTTAAAATATTTACTAATGAAGATCAAAGACCACAGCCTTCAGTATGAATTGCGTCACAATGTAAAGAAAACAAAATCTTCGCCACTGGACAAGTAAACAACATTCTTATCAGCGGAGGAAAGATTGAAGTTGTCAAGGACTTCATTCTTCTTGGACCAACTGTCAACACTCATGGAAGTAGCAGTCAAGAAATCAAATGACAATGCAGTAGGCAAATCTGCACAAGACCTTTTTAAAGTATTGATGAGCAAAGATAACAGATTGAGGACTAAGGTGCACCTGACCCAAGCCATGGTATTTTCAGTAACCTCATATGCATGTGAAAGCTGGACAGTGAATAAGGAAGATCATAGAAGAATTGATGCTTTTGAGTTGTGGTGTTGGAGGAGAATATTGAAAGTGCAGTGGGCTGCCAAAAGAACTAACAGATCTGTGTTGGAAGAAGTGCAACCAGAGTGCTCCTTGGAGGCCAAGATGGCCAAACTTCGTCTCTCATACTTCAAACATATTGTCATTAGGGACCAGTCACTGGAGAAGGATAACGTTTGGTAAGGTGGAGGGTCAGAGAAAAAGAGGAAGATCCCCAGTGAGATGGGTTGGCAAAGTGGCATCATCAATGGGCTCAAGCGTGGCAACAATTGTGAGGTTGGCCCAGGATTGGTCAGTGGTTCATTCTATTGTGAAGAAGGTCACTATGAGTCGGTACTGACTCAATGGCACCTAACAATCTAACGAAATGTTTGTTGTTGGTTTGGACTCCTAGCGACCCTGTCGTAGGGTCATTTTCTCTCAGCCTGAGAAATACTTTTCAAAATGTTCTTTAGTACATGTCTGTTGTTAAGTGCCACCAAATCAGTTCTGACTCAGAGACCCTGTACAAGGTTTCCAAGGAGTGGTTGATGAGTTTGAACCACTGACCTTTTGTTTTAATCCAACCTTGAGGTCAAGTGCTAATCCTCCAATGCCACACCAGGACATGTGGAATTAGAACATGTCTGCTAGTAATGAAGTCTCAGCATTTGCTTGTCTAGAATGATTTATCCTGTCTTTGTGTGTGTGTGTGGAAAATTTCAAGTGTGTGTAAATAGAGAAAAATCATATACACCCCCTTATACCCATCAGTAAGCCGCAGCAGTAAACTGTCACCTAAGCTGAGTATTCCAGGTTAGAGTCAGCACTGGACTGCTAACCACAAGGTCGACAGTTCAAACCCACCAGCTGCTTCTTGGAAACAGTAGACAGGGTCACTGAGTCAGAACCAACTAGACAACAGTGAATAGCATTCTTGGTTGACAATGGTTTTCTTTCCACACTTTGATGATGTCCCTTTGTTTTTCACTTTTTACTAACTCTGCTGAAAAACCAGTAGTCAGTGTCATTGTGTACACCGTGTGAGTGAGGTACAGTGGTAGTGTTCTGTCTACACCGTGTGAGTGAGGCATACTGGTAGTGTTCTGTCTATACCGTGTGAGTCAAGCATAGTGGTAGTGTCCTGTCTACACCGGGTGAGTGAGCCATACCAGTAGTGTTCTGTCTACACCATGTGAGGCATAGTGGTAGTGTTCTGTCTGCACTGTGTGAGTGAGCCATATGGTAGTGTTCTGTCTACACTGTGTGAGGCTTAGTGGTAGTATTCTGTCTGCACTGTGTGAGTGAGCCATATGGTAGTGTTCTGTCTACATCGTGTGAGGCATCATGGTAGTGTTCTGTTTACACCATGTGACTGAGCCGTACAGTAGTGTTCCTTCTGCACTGTGTGAGTGAGCGATACCAGAAGTGTTCTGTCTACACTGTGTGAGTCAGGCATAGTGTTAGTGGTCTGTCCAACCCTCTGTGAGGGTGGGGATCCCAAGGCTCACAGGAGGCAGTAGCAGCCACCACTGACTGTTGACACAGAAAGAAACTGGCCCCAGAGTGTCAGATCGTTGGATCTTTCGAAAGAAATTGAAAGTTCAAACATGTATGTGAAATAAACAAATTTTAAATG